AAAGCACGGGACATTGGGACATTGGGACATTAGTATTTTGTTTTATCGTATCGAAAAAAAAAGATTTATAATAGATGTTTGATTTTTTTCTAAAGCACGGGACATTGGGACATGGGGACATTATTATTTTCTTTTATCTTCTTTAAGAAAAAATGATTTACATCAGGTGTTTTGTTTAGTGGTGAGTGAATTGATTGGTTTTAGCAATTTCAATGATCGGAAAGTTTATTTTCGTTTGGAAGAAATATTGTTGCGATTTTTCAAATGTCTAAGAACTAATATACCGAATGTTCGGAGGATATTATTTCATTATTAAATGGATTTTGTACTGTAGTTATTCTTTTTGTTATATTATTTCTTCTTTTGTATGTTGTTCGAATAAATGAATGAGGAGGTATTTAAATGAGATATACTAATGAATATGTTTTGTTGATTACCAAATAAATCTCTAATAGTATTTAAACATTTGCTAATCTATTTGATTAAATTCGGTAGCTATTTAAATCGTTGTTAGTTGATTAATATACTATATCTGAAGAGCAATTATTTAATTGTGCAATAGTATTTTAAGATTGACATACCTATTTAAATATTTGGTGGATATTTAATCTTTAATTTTTATTTCCACGAATAGTTATTTGATCTTAAAGTAGTATTGAATAAATCGTTATAGGTATTTAAAGACTTTCCAACTATCTAAAGTTTGAAACCTATTGAAAACTATATTGCTATTTAAATGAGTGCTATCTATTTATTTAAGATCACTGACTTCTTTTCGAGCAGAGGATACAAAAAAAATGATCTTAGATGGAATTATTTTGACAATGCGATATAATATATTAAATTATTTGCGCAAAATAGTCCTTCTCAGAACAGATACTTGTTAGTACAGAAATATCCAATAAATATTTTTATATTAGTTAAACTTTACATATATTAATTTTCTTGTAGTATATACTTTGAATATTACCTATTTGAATAAGTGTAATTTATTTATTTAAAACTACTGATTGTATTCGAGCCGCATTTTGTAATTGAATGAAAAATATAGTATTATTTAAATAGTTACTTCATTTGTAGCAGCATATATTGGTTAACGTACATCATTTGATGAGATATTGAAAGCTAGGATTATTACAGAATTATCATAGCAATTTGAATTTTTTGATACCTATTTGCGAGAAAGAGAAACTTACAGGCTTTCCAACGTCAGTCATACAGTAAAAAATCATATCAGAAATTCTATAGGAAAGGAATTAGATGCTTAAATAATTTGATAGTTGTGCACATTTGTTTAAAAAATAATTGTCAATATTTTAAATAGCTATGTCAATGTTTAAATAGTACTAACTTTTACATAGATAGCTGATTCAATTAGCTACTATATTTTCGTTAAAGCGGCGTTTTTTTTATTGTAGTAAGAAGATTGAAATGCATGACATAACAGAGGAAGCTAATATATTAATAGAAAAAGAAAATAAAACTCAACTAAACGATATTTTATCAAGGATAATACGAATTATCCGTAAAACAAAGAAACAGAATATTATGATATTAATTATCAACTTAAATGCATATTACACAAAATAATTAGTGTATCGATTAAGCAATCAAATATTAGTTTATAATTAAGTTGTTTTATTTATTGATTTTCGTTTATACTTTTTTTTTGTTTTGATATTATCATTTGAACATTTTTTCTGTTTTTTTCGTTTATTTATATCAGATTGAGAACGTGTGGTGTGTTGAACATTGGAAGATGTTGGTATAAAATTAATCGTATCTAAATCGATATTCATATAAAATATTTTTTGTTTAATACAAAATGTTAAATCAATAGGGGCATCGTGAAAGATTGTTTTTCTTAATTAAGCACGCATTTTAAGCATCAATAATGGTAAGAGATGTTATAAGAGGTTATATGAAAAAATAGTAGTACGGAGAAAAAAAATTTGAGAAAATTGAACAAATAGTAGAAGATTTGTTCAAAGGTGGATATTTTGTTATTGTAGAATATTGAATAGATGATAAGGATTCCGGTATTATTTATTGATATAAAGGTATTATATCATATCTGTGTGTTTCACTGATAGTGTTATTGTAGAAATCCTTGACACTAAAATGTTATAAAATTACTTACCGTTTAGATCATATGAAGCTTGATTATTTACAGGTGTATTGTAACTTTCAGAAATATTTAATGATGTATTCGTATCGGTTGTATGACTGGTTTGAGATTGAGTAGATGTTATATAAATGCTTTCATTAGAGCTATTAGATACTACTTGATCAACTGTACTATTTATGAACGGTGTTGATAATAAAATATTCGTGATTGGAGTTGTTATGTTTTGTAATTCTACATTTGACACAATATTAGAAATGTTTTTTGAATGTATTGAATTTTTATTATATGGATCAATATCTATGACGAAAATTGTTGATTGTTAATATAATATCATTGGAAAGAACATACCGGTTGATATTTGACTAGTATCGTTTAAGTTTTTATAAGAATGTAATGGTTGTTCTAAAAAGAACTGTTTATATAGAAAACATCATGTAAAACAATTTTACCCTTCGATTTTTCGTTCATATGTGTTTCTTGAATACTAGAAGAGATTTCATTAGAATTAGAACATGTAGTCGTATTTAAAAGAGATCTTGACAATTCAACCGATGTCAGTTGCTGTGTATGGTCAAGCGTGTTAATAACAATAGGAATACTATGAATATTTTCAATGATCATATTTTCTAAAGATAGTTTAAAATTTATTATTAACATTAACGCATAAGTAAAGATATTATACTTTGTGCTGGATTAACTATGATAGACATTCTATCCGAATTGTCACAATTAGATGTGTTTTGTGATTGTAAGGACAATTGATTAAATGAATTAGAGGGTTGATGTTGAATATGATGATCTGAAGTTTGTTCCAGCAATATTGGTACTTAATAGGAAGAAGTTATTTAATATAAAATATTAATTATTTATCTATAAAATTTATTACATATTTTTGGATTACTTATTAATTGAGCATTTGTAATTTGATTATCTATGTCATGACGATTACAATCATTTAATGTATCGTTTGAATTTATTGTTATATTATCTATCATATATTAACGATGAATGTAAATATTTATCGAAGTAATTTAAAAAAATTTTATATATGTAATTGTTGAAAAGACATACTTTCTAGTTGACGTTCAGGATATTTTTCCTTTAATTTTTCATATAAGAACTTGTGTTCAGGTAACATTAAGATTTGTTTTCCAGTAGTTGTTAAAACTTGTTTTTCTTTGATAATGCTGTTGGTTAATAATTGCATATAAGTTGTTAAATTAATATTTATGTCATTCAACAGTTGATCGATTGCATTTCGTTTGAGAGTATCATTTAAAACAAAATCTGATGGATAAGATCGAATAAATACGGTAGCACGTGCTGTAGTAGTTATGAATGCTTTTAAAAAAGATTAAAAAAAAAAGATTTAAATTTCTGTGTATCATGATTAGAATTAAATGACGATCGGAAAAGTACTGAAATACAAATAAGCCAATGCTTACGTCCTTGTCGAATCAATTCATAACTTGAAAGTTCATTGAGAACTGAATTAACTAGATCTGTTGGAAAATGTCGTAATAATCCCATTGGTCCAGTTAGATCTCGTTTAAGAAATATTAATTGTGACATTTGAATAATACGTTGTCGAATGGTGTTGACAGTCGATTGAGCTAAATTTATTATAAAAAATCGTTGGAATTAATGGTACATATAATTTTCATACTTGATGTCATTTGATTGATATTTGTTTCATGATTAGAAACAACAGGATTAACATTGTAAAAAGCAAATAACATTTTAACTAAATGACTACATAACAGTTGACCAGCCAAACGACAACTAGATGAAGTGATTTCAAGAATAATATTTGTTGTTGGATATTTATTTTGAATTATGTTTGTTACATTTCGAATAAAATCAATACTAGTATCATTATAATCAAGTTGATTTTGAAGACGAAGAATCCTACAATAGATAAAATTATAGAAGTGAATGTTCTCCTCTCAGATTATCATTGTTTCGTATTATTTAAAATTAACAATTTTTTTTAAGATAAAAATTAAATGAAGTAATCTTTAATTACTTTAAAATTTCTAGTACTATTTTCATTAATTCGGCAATGGCAGCAAATTTGCAAAGAATTTCTGCCGATTTACCCATTCGAGACCCAAAATTAATGTCATTTGGTTTATCAATTTCGGATAATTCTTGATATTGACGTACTTTATTGTAAAACTTTTTAGTACCAGTTCGACTAAGATGAAATATACGTTTCCCAATTAAATATGAAACAATCAAAATTTGTGTTAAACTAGGAAGATGTTGATCTATTTTATTCATTTTTTCGTTGTTATATTCATCATCACTGATATCTTCGTCTTCATCATTATTATCATCATTCGCATCATCATATTCCAATGTTTGTGAATAATTTAATTTTGCTTCTTTTTTTTTCGGCATTGCATAATGAACGAAACTAAAAATTTTATTTTAATTATTAACATATCTATTATAATACCAATGTCACAATATCGAAAAAATCGTATTATAAAAATTGTATTAGATATTTTATAATGGTTATCTCACTATTCTCAAGAGTAAAACTAACAAAAAGTTTTACTCAATATAAATACTCACCGTTCTGACATACCATCGCTTTGAGATGCTTGAGCATAATAGTTAATTAAACGTGGCCACAAACGGCCTGTTGTTGCACCCATAAAAGATAAATGTGAACTTATATCCAAATGATATGTCATTGTATCTTTAGTTGTTGGTATTGTACCAAAAAATTTGCAGCCCGCAATACGATCACCAGCACTTGCGTCGGATGATGGTGTATAAAAACCTAATTCTAATAATGGTTTTTCTGCTTCATCTGTAATAACAAAAATATTAGATTTTGCAAGTTTAGCTGATAAAGTTGGACACGTGAAATCATCAAGAATTCCTTCATCTTCTTTCGACAATCCCAATACTTTCATTGCAGCTATCATCGCTTTTTTTATTGGACCTATTATTTTCGATTTTCCACATCCTATAAATATGTTATTAAAGAAAATTATTCATTTCCTTTTATACCTGATGGTCTAATTAGTAGAAGAAAAATATTCAAATTCGTACAATGATTTGTTATATCAACTTCACTATTGCCTGCTAAATGACCAACACATGTAAATAAAGATAATAAAAGACCAGTAGGATCTGTATTATTTGATATTTCAAATTTTTTTAAAAGATCATGTAATAAAGAAAACGAAGAATCGAGAATATT